AGAGAGAAGGTGGCAGTGAACTCTGTGCTCATCTGATTTCCTTCTTTTTATACAGTCTAGGATACCAGCCCAGGGGACAATGCCACCTGCAGTGTTCAGGTCTTCACACCTCAACCATCTAATCAAGGTAATTCCTACAGGCATGGGCACAGTCTCACGTCCTAGGTAATTCTAGGTCTCATGGAATTGACAGTGGAGATTAACTATCCTAAACCTATTACCAGAAATCTTAAGCCAGGTGGAACATTTGTAATTCCTTGGGAAGTGAATCAAATGTTTAAAGCCAATCTTGACTCCAAAGTGAATTTGAGGCTAGCCTAGTCTACACAGTGAAGACCAGGCCAGCCCTGGCTATATAGTAAGATGCTGTTTTAAACAATGCTACATATTACTGGTGGTCAAAAAAAAAAAAAAGTGTGGGATGAAAATATAAATCGTGCATAAAGGGATTAATTAATCAATTCAGTATAGAAGTCACTTGAGGGAGAAAGAGGAATGGTATTAGGGATGAGGAGGACTTCAACTCTTTAATTTATTCTTTCTTTTTGAGATAGAGTCTCGTGTGGCCTAGGCTGGCAATTGCGGACAGCCTTAACTTTCTGATTCACTTGTCTTGCCTCCCAGGTCCTAGAATTTTAGACATGTACCACCATGTCTAAGATGATCTAATAAGAATTGTGATGATCATATAATTTTACCATCATTCCATCATTATCACCATCACTATCAACACCACCACCACCACCATCATCATCGTCTGCGGTGCTGAGAATCAAATACAGGCCTGGCTGTATTCTAGGCAAGCGGACTACTAAACTACAACCCTTTTATTGTTATTTGTGCCTGTTACACGAAGTTACTTAGGCTGGCCTTGAACTTACTCTGTGTCACAGGAGAGTCTTGAAATTGTGCTGCCTGGAGCCACAAGACCACCTTCTTCTTCTTCTTCTTCTTCTTCTCCTTCTCCTTCTCCTTCTCCTTCTCCTTCTCCTTCTCCTTCTCCTTCTCCTTCTCCTTCTTCTTCTTCTCCTTCTTCTTCTTTTCTTTTGTTTCTTTCAAGGACATGGTTTCTTTGTGTAGCCCTAGATGTCCTGAAACTCACTCTGCAGACCAGAATGGCCTTGAACTATCAGAGATACACCTGCCTCTACCTCCTGAGTGCCGAGACTAAAGGTATGCATCACTACCACCCCACTTTTGTTGTGTTTTGTTTTAAATTTTGGGGGATTTTTAGTTTCTCACTCTGTAGCCCAGATTGGTTTGGAAGTCACAGCAAAATACTATTGCTTCAGCATTCTAAGTACTGAGACTAAAGGTGTGAGTAACTGGGTCCAATTATCCTTTTCCTTCCTTCCTTCCTTCCTTCTTCCTTTCTTTTTTTTTGTTTTTTGTTTGTTTGTTTGTTTTGTTTTTCGAGACAGGGTTTC